GGTCTATCTTTATTTCCCATGTGGGGCAATAATGGTTTCCATGACTCAGGAAATCTCGCACATGCATGTTTGTGTGTTTGCCTAATGTTATGGTGGTTAATAACAGATTAAGCATCAAAGCAGTGAGCATCGGCGCTGCCATGCTTTCCATAAATTAACTCCACCTTTTGTCTCTATTCCTTGCTTATTTGTGTCTCATTATTTGTGTTGGGTGAAATCCATGCAAATGAAGAGGAGTCTAATCCTGTCCCTGGTTAGAGGTGATAATTGTACCTTTTGTTGTTTCCAGTTATAAATTCTTATCAGACAGGTGGAGTATGTGCAGTTTAAGAAATGATCCTGTCACATTACTTCAGTATACTTCAGTCTGGGGTTTTAGCACAAGAATGTTATTGATGAAGCCTACAACATCAACAAATTGCATTTCTTGACACAATCTCCTAATCTTTGATGAACAGTTCTCGTTTTATTCGGAATATTTCTCTGCCTAATCTCAGCCCCCTCCTCAGCTCATCATCTATACACAAAATGGGTTTGTTGTTGAGTCAATGTAAACCATGCAGGCTCTAATTACGCCCATTAAGGATGCTAATTACACACCTGAAAAATGGCCAACAAACAAGACAACAGAGCGCAGATCCTGGCTTCCCCAGAAGGCAGAGACTGGGAACAGTGTGCCTATAATCCCTTTCACCACACAGACGCTGTCCTTGGCCTGAGAAAGAGCAGCATCCCGCAGGCAAAGACATGTTCTCATCTGCACAGAGGAGATAACTACACCTCACCCAGCCTCCACCCCTCCTCCACCAACCTGCCTCTGCACACCCTCCATCCTCCTGGCCCTCTAAGTTTTCTGTCTCCTGATGGTACACACATACACGGACACACACGCACACGCACAAATGTCCCCGCAAGCTCACTGGAAAGATGAGGAGGGAGAAGAAGGACAGGAGTTTGAATGAGTTTGGACAGCAAAGTGAAAGCAAAGCCTTTTTTCCTGTCTTCCTGCTCTGGCGTTGGCATTCTGTGTGAATCTCTGCTGATCCAGTCACTTTGAAGTTTGCAGCCTTTGATTTGGACAAAGATTGTGGAATTTGATCCCTGTTTAAAAGGAGATGGCACACAGGGCTTCTTTGCTAAATCAATGACTGGTTCCAGCTGGGACTGAAGTGCATCTGTGGTTTTATTGGTGTGACCAACTGGCCCACAAGCTTCTGATATTGACTCAGCGCTCACAGTGCAGAGGGATTTGCAAACGACCAGCGGTAAGCAGCGAGCAGCGACAACAGGTTGATAGAGAGCTGTCACATTGCATGATGATACACCAGAAGCAATCAAAGCCAAGAGCTCTCAGCACTGCAGATAACAGGGACGGGGACATCGCCGTCTCATGTGGTGCCTCGATCTGAAATGAAGAAGTTGCTGTGCAGGTACACTGCAGCCACTTCAGAGTTTATTATTAGGACTGGTGTCCTTGTAAAGAGTCTGACTGATCAGATAAAGTAAATGTCCGTGTTTAGCTGAACATTGTGTGCAGGGATGGGCTGCTATCAGTAGCTAGATCCAACATCCATTTCAGCAGGCTTATAGTTTGACATAACACACAGAGTTTTGGCATTAAATGTTTTCAGAGGCAACACTTACCATTTGTAGTTGTACTTTGAAAAGGTTATTTAATGGCTCCAGATATGCATGAAGACAATACTGATTTTTTTTTTGCGATATTCCTTAGCTGCAGGATACCGCTCAAATAGAAACATTAGAAAGAATAGAAGACCCAAGAGGGGATTGAGAACATTGCACAATAGTTGTTTGTAGAAAAATGCCTCAACGGTGTTCCTGTCCCTGATCCTTATCAAACATGCCCAAAGTTATGTTCATTGTTGTGACTCTTCCAGCCTTATCTAGGCACAAGGAAATCTGTTTGAACAGGAGGCAGCCAGATAACTCTGACAGAGCACATCTTACGTGAGCTTGCAGATTCATCTGGTTCCCAGCCTCTATTTGACATACCTGTCCCAAAGATTTGAACTCTCTTATGGACCATTGTTTTTCTCAAACAAAACTGCCAGTTTAACGATTGACTTTAAAGGACCAGGGCTTTGTTAAAAGGGCCTACTCGCTGATAAGCACACATGGTCATGATCATAGGTGCCATTTTGTACCAGAAGCATTAAAAGCAATTGGTAGGTGCAGAGCAAGTTATTATTAGGCAGCTTCTTTTCAGGGGGAAGAGTGCACGGTCCTATTCATTTCAAAACACTCCCTGTCTTTTTCTGAAGTCACCTTTTTTTCTTCTCCTGCCTTTCTCTCTTTCTCCCACTCTCGCTTTCCCTCTGCGTCTCACTTCTCTGCCTCTCTCCTCCATTGCCAGTCCAACAGCTGCTTCTCTTTTGGCTGGCCTCCAAATGGATGACTGAGGAGAGTGAATGGGTTTTTAATTTCACTTGTTAACACAGCTTTCTCACTGGTTCCCCTCCCTTAACCTGCAGAGCCCACACTGGCAGTAAGGAAGAAAACTTGAGCATGATCTAAACATCAAACTTTCTAATTAACAGGACGTTGATTTGGCATAAAGTGAGCTATTATTCTGTATTCTCCTTTCTCCCCTCTTTGTTGATTAATTAATCACGGAGGGTTTTATTCAACTATCTCCGAAGAGGATGGAAGTTATTAAAGCAGTGATATTGTACTGTTGCTCCCAGAGCGCAGACCTCTGTCACCACTGCATGTATTTAAACTCCAAAACCCAACAGGTGCATTCATGAGGCCTGAGGCAAGGTGGCTGCTGCTATAGCTGCTGCTGCCATGTGCAGGGAGAAGCCCAATGGCCATCATAAGATCGTCGTCGTGATTCGATACTTTCACCTCACACTGACATTTTTATACTGTGCACGTGACCTTTCTGTGACGCACTGCTGCATAAGAATAAGACAGAAAAGGGGGAATCACTTCTACTGCAGCTAGCACAGAATGCTAATAAACTGATATCGGTTTAATTCTGATGTATTCAAACTTAAAGAATGAGCTGTCATGAAAAACTGTCGGTGGTGCAACCTGATGGAGCTGAGCTAAAGGAAACACAACATTTCTACTAATTTGGTAATACGTAATATGTATAATGATACTTGGACATGTCACAATGTACATAGGTCGCTTTGTGATAAATACTGAGGGAAAAGAGTCTCATTACGTTTTTTAAGAAGCCAAAGAACAATACAACATGATAAAGTAACTACTACACCATTAGTAAATCTTTAACTAATGGTGGGACAATTGGGAAATAATAAGGAACTAACTAGTTAATCATTAGTTAAGGGGGAAAATAACTTGGAACAAATGAGAAACATATGAGGAAATATTTATGTGTTTAACATTTGCAAATGAGGGGGGTGGCTTTGTTACTAGGGAATAAATTAGGTATTTGGTTTAACCATTTTCAGGTTGGTCTATCTATGATATAAATCAAGTGTAGCTTAATTGGCTGTTCTCTAACCTTTACACCAGCAGTGATTTTTTTTCAGGCCAAATCACCAGTTGAATGATAGACATAACTACAGGCAAATAGAAAAGAGAAAGTCAACATTTCAGAAACATATCAGGTCGTTTTAGGTTAATCGTTTATCTCTTTCGAGACGTGTAACTGCCAAATGCCAGTGACCAAGTCATGGAGGAGGCAAACAACAAGTTAGTAGTGCCCTCTTGTGGAATAACATGCACATCGCAGTCCATGGCTCACTGACTGTAGAGGTTAGAAGTCTATAAAATCATAACCTCTTGTTTCTCTGTCTCCACTAGCCCCTCCTCTAACAACAGTCCATCCTCATCACTCTGTCTCTGTCATCTTTTCTTTTACATTATTCAAGTTGACCCAGTCATCTTTCCATCGACCTGCTTATGATGTAGCCTAGTATCACTATTTGACCTCGAGAGCATATTCTGATGAGCATCATTCTAAACAAACAATTAAAACCAGTGATAGTTTTGTTTGTGTAATTCTTTCAATCTGTCCACCCTCTTCTTCTCTTTCAGTTTTATGTCCTGTGCTGCTGCCTGCGGTACTGCCTGCCACACAAGCCCCCTGCTGGCTGCATATGAAAACTACCAAAACAAAACGTGTTAAGCGCTTCAAACAAAGTTTCACAAACAATGGAGCACACCTTAAAATGATCTTTTATCTGTGCAGCTTCCCCACTTGAAAAGGATGGATAGCTCTACATACGGGATTCTGGATTCAACTCAAACAACAACTTTCGCACCCTTTTGATTCTGAAAGGTTCAAACTTTCAGTTTTCATTGAAAAATGAGCAATGAGCTTTTGGCAATGAGCTTTTGGGGTTAACAACACTCTAGACTGAAAATAACGCATACATGTGCTTAATGTAGACAGGCAACAAAAATGCACAGCTTGAATTTTGCAAAGGAAAACACATTAAGCATCAGCGCAACTTACCAAAAGCTCTAATTCAATTTATGAAATGTCAGTATGTTGTGATTTAATAGATGAAAATGTAACTTGTTTTTATCCCAAATACGATTTATAATACTGTTTTACTTCACAGTCATGGTCAGTGGCAGAAGGCTAAATGAAACCTATAACCTTTAGAGATATTTATTCAGATTTAAAGTTGTGTGTAAAGATATTACTTCATTATGTTGTCTGCTTAATTTGTCTATGTTGAAACAGAAATGTTCAAATCTACCTCCACTGAGTAAAATGTGATTCTAAATGTGGTAAAATTGTCTGCAGCTGCTGTCTAAAACCTTGGATACAATTGATGATGACAAGTGGGTGTGTCAGTTGGCAGTGGGGGCAACAAGATATCTCCCCACGTATAAGACGGCCTTGGAGGAGAAGGTAAACCTTAAAACTATTAAAACAGTTTTATAAGAATGAAAGAAGAGCTTTTCTATTTGGATTGGGTCGTGATATGAGTATGCAACGGAAACCAGAAGGCTGATTTTTTTTTTTTTTGTAAAGAATATTTTTATTCGTGTGATGCAGACATTGTAAAGGAGTGAAGTCAGAGTTCACTTAAACTATGTGATGAAAACAACTCAGTATCACTCCTGGGCATTGTGTCTACATGTATTGCTTTAGAAAACAAAACATACTGGCACATATTGGAAAACCAATGCAATATATATATATATATATACACACACACACACACACACACACACACACACACACACACACACACACACACACACACACACACACACACACACACACACACACACACACACATATATACATATTATATTGGTAGATTCCATTAAGCCATTCATGTGTTATATTACATCGTTATGTACTGGTCCTATGTATTTTCCAGCCTATTGTTTTGTTTTCTATTTTGACCATCTATTTTCTATCTTCTCCCATTATCAGAAAAAAAAAGCTTCATTACCTCAGGACAATGAGATAAATCTATCTCTTATCATGGGGGAACCAGCGTTATTATCCACAAATAAAAAGATTAATAAGCTGAGATCTTGAGAAAATGACCAAAAATCACTTGTTATCAAGGGATGAAGCAAATAAAATGTGGAAGCATATATACATTTATTTTTAATATATTCTCGTTCTGTTTTTTTTTTTCTCGCCACAAGTCGAGACATACATGGTCCAGGTCATGTTGGGTTGTGGATGGCCGGCTACTAAACACAGAAAGGTAATGTTGGTTTCTGGTTTCACTTTTTTCACCTCTCTCTCAGATGCACAGTAGGATGAGCTGCAGAATGGAGTCATAAGTTATGTCAAAGTTATGCTTATCTTACACTTAATACATATTTTGATGTCCTTATGACTGAAAAATGTTGTTTTAATACTAAAAGTTGAATAATCCTTAACCATTTAGTCCTCAACCATAGTCTATTACATGCATCATGTTTTGAAAGAGCCAGATCTTTGTATCATAACCTCAGACCTCTGACTGTTATTGGATCTTGATGTGAAAAAGATACTGACCATTGACAACAACAGAGATTGCTAGTTGCTTGACGATTGGCCTTCCCCTGATTTCGGCACGACACGTGTAAGTCCCAGCATCTTCTCTTCTCACACCTTGAATAAGGAATGTGTTATCAGGAAGATGACGCACACGCCTTCCGGCTGAAGATGGAAATAAGTGAGTGAGAGTCAGAGTGAGGGACACAGTGATGGAAAGAAAACAACATGGATGGATGAAGGCCAACACAACTTACACACAAAAGAGAAAAGGAGGTTAGGAAGCAAAAGACATGTTTAAAATTTGCACCCAAAACATTCTTTATAATTTAAACTATAATATCAGTTCAAGCATCTGAAGCAAATTTTTGTAGGACCTCAATATTACAGTTCAGGCTATGTGAAGACAAGTTAAGTCGATACTTTTGTCTGGCTGACTGAATCTGCATGTCTGCTTTTATTTTTTTTTATAAAAGAGAGAACTTAAAAGAGAGAACTTAAAAAGTAACTATGAATTCATGAAACTCGACTATTCAAGACAGCTCAACAGATCAGTCAAGTCCGGGATAAAAAAAACATACTGGCGCCATCCCTGCTTATGCAAGCCACTGGATGGGTTTATTTCACATTTTGTGGGTCAGTAGACACTGAGGTCACCCAAATATATGTTCAAAATATGTTTTCATAATATGTCCCCTTTAAAGAGACATCAATATCAGTATCAGCCTGTTTCATAAACAACTACATTTTCATCATCATCTCAAAGCAGCTGCTTGCTGCGCTTGAGAACAAAATTGATGAGAGTAATTCAGAATGAATCAATGGTAAAGATCTGGGCTGTAAATTTAAAACATTAAGATTAAAGATACTAAAGCACTATATCCCCACTTGCCCATGTTCTTGTCCTACCATTGGTTGAAATTTCTTGTCTGTCTCTGAACCAGTGAACATCAACGGCTGGCTGTCCTGTCACCTGGCACGGCACCACGCCATCTGTGCCCTCCAGAAACTCATGGTAAGTAGAGGTGCCTCCAAAAGAAGGACCCTCTGACAGAAGGGGGGGAAGGTTAGGGTGCCTTAGTCTTTATACAATATAGTACAGATGAGTGAAATCATAGTCAAAGGTGTGCGGCTAGTCATTTACATACCGTAAGTGTAGAGCATTTTCTGAACTTCATCTTGATGTCCGCTGTCAAAGTCACATCGACAGGTGTACTTGCCCCGCATCTTGCATCGTGGCCTTCTTATGTAATTTAGAGGAGGTCACATCCACCGTAGAAACCTTCTCTTCAACTTCAATATCTTTCCCCATCCTTCTGCCACGTTATGTCTCCCTCTCCACCAGTTACCAGAGGAAACAAAGGTTCAGAGTTCTAGAGAAGGTTCAAAATGAAATGTAACTTTCTTGGACAAGCTCCATGAATCATTAAATAAGATATTTGAAAAAAGACTCACCTTTACACAGCATTAAGATCTCTTGTCCCACCAGAACATCTTGTTTACTGGTAATGATGTCCATCTTTGCTTCTATCATCATTCAACAGAAATACACATTTTTAACACAACAACAGTGAGTATAACAATTAGTCATTTTAAAACATAAGAGACGAAATGATACCAAAGACTACACTGAACTATTGATAAGTGAATATATAAGTTATCTTGTAAAACACATTTAAAAGGAAATCATCTAAACACTAACTTCACTTTGAAATAAACATGCAGTTTGTTGTTGGGTTGTTGTGCTCTAACACATTTTGTAGCGCACAAAAATGTAGACAACTTTAAAAGCTCATCAGTTTGTGCACCTGCAGAAAGATTTGAACCCTTGAGTCATTTTGAGTCATTTCATGTTTCATTTGCAAAGTGCCAATATTTTCCCCTAAATGCAGCACTTACGCGTATTATTTTGACACTTCTTGCTAAGATTGAAATAATGTTGACAGATCTTACCTGTGCCTTGCAGCAGCAGCAGCAGCAGCAGTGAGACCATTCTCAGGATGAGGGCTGACTGGTTTGTCATGTTTACCTGAACATATGACACTAAATAAAAAAATCTGCTGTTTTTGTGTTCAGTCCAAAATGTTTGATTTTGCAGTCAGCACAGTTGAACAATGGGTTTAATGCATCATCTAATGATGTTTAAAAATCAAACAGCTCCAAAATGAGACCTAAAGCATAACTATGATGGGACAGGGTCTGTGTTAGAGGTTATATAGAGGAACAAAAACAGAGGAGATGAGAGGATACGAGAAAGGGTGAGGAAAGAGAGAGAGAGAGAGCACTGCTCTCTGGTCCATGTGTTTACACCACCAGAGTCACTGCTGGTCATTCATGAAGACAAATGAAAGGTGACGACTGAAAGATGCCTCTCCTCCTCTCATTTTTCTCTTTTTTTGTCAACCCACATTCGTCCCTACCGAGTCTTTGTCTTTTATTTATTTATCCTTTATTCTTTAGCTCTTTTTATTTCCTTTCATCATCTTCCTTCTTTCTCTCTTTTCCACTCTGTCTGTTCCCTTTCTCTTGCTCCAGGCTACCGGATGAAAGGGGAGGCAGCCCTCCAGGGAAGGGAGAGATGGCCAAAGATTTTTTATCATTCCATCCTTTTTCCTCTCATTTAAAAATAGGGTCACATACTTCTCAAGCACACGCAACCTTAACCTGCACTGTGCCAAAGTACAGATACAGTACAGTATGCCAGACCACACATGTTGCTGAAAACGTGCATCCTTTAGGATGCTGGTATCAACAAACCTCAGTGACACCCATTCTACTACAAAGAAAACATTGTCTTTACTTTGAACTCTGTGGTTGGAGGAAGGAATAGAAGGAGCCCAGTTTAAAAGTTTTGATTACCAACTTAGCCTTAAACATTTAATCATTTAAGTCAAGCTTGCCATCATCTACTGCTGTTGCACAGGCTTTTGAGTTTTTGTATTGTTATCTGTTCACAACATGTCATGTTTACATCATGTAAATATTAGACAAATAACATGTCTGTGATGTTATAGGAGTCTGTGGTCCTGCTTGTATTGTAAGATAATAGTATAATTTCATTGATATCTAGCTAACCATACATTGATTTTTTTAATATACTTTATTAATCCCTGAAGGAAATTCTGGTTTACACTCTGTTATTGAGATACTTCTCACACATAGGCCTGAAATACAGGTATACACAAACAGGACCTGTGGACATGCATTAGTGGAGAGACATCAGAGTGGGGCTGCTACACACTGCCAAGCAGGGAGCGCACCAGAGCTGTTGGGGGGTTAAGTGCCTTGCTCAATGGCACCTTGGCAGTATTCGGGATCTCTCTATTTCCGGACCGACTTCCATATTTTAGTCTGCACTGAGACTTGAACCAGCGACCCTCCAGTTCCCAACCCAAGTCCCTACAGACAGCAAAAGGAGTGAAGAGTCACATAATTCACAAGGTTTTTACTTGATGCTTTAGGGATTAAAAGTTCCCCACGAGACCATCCCATATAAAACACACACAAACACAAAGCTAATTCATCTACTTGGTGTTAGAATCCACTGATAGACAAGTTTTGTCCTATGGGTCCTATCAATTGTATTGGCCAACAGCCAGCCAGCCCTTCCCCCCTCCGTCTTGATAGGCTATCAGTGACTCCACACCGCCATCCAGCCGACCAATCAAAGGATACGTAGTCCAAAGGGGCCACCTATCAGGTTGATTATCAGGAGGCGCTATTATGGCTCATTTAAATGGAGTGTGCTCATAATGAGGACTGTTATCCAGGGACATTAACGAGGGTGGGTACACACTTACAGCTGCCCCACATCAGATAGTTCAGCAGGATTTCTTGGTATCAACTCTATTCATTTGTACAATACACAGAAATCTGCTGCTGTCACAATTGTGTAAATGTTCTACACGTAACAAAGCCCTGATGTTTAAAGTCTAGCCTAGTTGGCAAATGATGAACTGAGCAAGGACATTTTTTGATAACAAAGACGGGGGGGACACACCAACACACACACACCAACACACACACACGCGCACACACGCGCACACACGCACACGCACGCACACGCACGCAGACACACACACACACACACACACACAAGCAGGAGCTGTTCTACACCACATGTAAAATATTTAACCAATAAAAATGTGAAACTTTAAGACAACAATGAAGGTGTACTCATTAACAATTTTTACTTTATTCCTGGTTGTAATCATACTATTGATGTTAGATTTTTTTTGGGGAAAATTTCAGGAGTCAGTAAGAATGTTACGAGAGAGCATGGCTGGTGTTTTTTCCACGACAAATCTTTCACTCAGGGAGTTTTAAATTCACAATATAACTGTGCAATAGTTTAATTTTAAAGTGTAATGCAACTTATATGACTCATGTTACTGTGCCCGTGTTACTGGCCTCAGGTTTAGTGGTTTAATACTGTTCAGGTATGAATGGCACAATAAAGGATTGAAGCTTCTGAATGCTGCAGAGTGTACAAAGAAAATAGCTTAAACGGTAATTAAACAGCACAGAGGCCTGTAAACATTGTGACTATAGACTCCACTGTCCCTGAACCCTCATCCAATAAATAAGAGCATTTCTTAATCATGACAGATGCGTCGTCTCATTGTGTAAAAGCTATTCTAGTAAGCGTATGATATTTTCTCAGAACACAGTGTCATGGTATACAGAAAAACACTGTAACTATAATTATTATAATTTACAAAGGTCCGAAAAGGAATGAAAACAGAAGAAATTCTTGGTTGAAAACCTTTTTTTTAATGATTTTAGAAAACCTCTTAACACAGTATTCTCTTTATTCAATTCAATAATCTGTATTTGTCCGCGGAGGGTAATTCATAGGCACATAGAGCAGTAGCATGAAGAGAAGTGCAAGGTAGACTAAATAATATAAACTAAATATAAAACTGTTTTCCAGGTAATCAGACTCTGTAGAGGGTGATGAGAGCAGTAAGACTCAACCGTTAGTCATTAGCACGTTCAGGCTGGATACCAAGAGGCTGAAAGGAATTTAGGAATAAATGTATTAAACTTTAAAATTCATCTCAGAATCCTGTTTCTAGTGGAGATCAGCTTCTTTTGTATGATATCTTTCACTGGTTGTGCATATTTCTTTTTGTTTTCTTCTCTTTTTTAAATTTTTGAAAATAAAAACTTCAATTTAATTCTATCCAAGTTGAAGTGGATGTTTGGACCCAAGTTTAAAATCATTCCTTCCCAGAGTCCACAAGAATGAGACCTTCAAACCAAAGAGCAAATCAAACACATAAAATGACTGTTATTACTTTACAAAGAAATTATTAGTAGTAGTTACAGTAGTTACAAAGAACGAAGGGAATTCCAAAATCAAACAATACTTTATCTAAACTCATTTGCACCATTCTTACTTAACATCTGAGTGTTGTTCAGTCCAGACTCCAGGGCAGAGTGAAGCTCTCATTCTCCAGCTCTTTGTGAATCACTGACTGGAATCTAGCCAGCTGTTCTGAGCTGAAATGGTTTTTCCAGTCTCCTGCAACACCTAACGCACAAACGCACAAACACATCATGACACTCACATGCGATCAACAAATCCTCAACAATATAATGTTTGGACAACTTCAATTCTACAAATCAGATACTATTGACCTTGAACTTCTATGGATCGATATCATATTTATACCTTTAAGTGTAAAGGTAGTTCTCCCTCTCTCTATGTGTTTAGATGTAAGTTTACCAAATATTATAAGGAGCTGTACTGACGGGAAAAATGAATAGAGAGGCTAAAAACAGAATAACCCCCCACACTTTTTATTCACCTGAGTGTTCCCTTTTCATGTTTTCTGTAAGCCTATTGATTAACTTTCCAAAGACAGAAAAATTTATTCTCAATCAGATACTACTAACTAATAACTACAAAAAAAAACCAAGGTGGTTGTACTGAAATGATCAGCTTCAAGAAGGTTGATATTTCTTCCCAGTAATGCAATTCAAAGCAGGGTGACAAAAGCTGAGGACAAAAGGGCCGTACCTTTTCTTAGGAATGCAGATTTGTCTTTGTCCAGGTACGCCTTAGGAACCATGGAGAAGTTGGACATGCTGTTGGACTTCATGGTCTTAAAGGAACAGTGATGTGATATCTTCTGGATGGTTTCCTCACTCAGATCCCGACCCAGGAAATCTGACATCCTCCGGAGAGCTGCCGGAAGGTCCTTCAGGAGGCGAACATGTTCTCTCAAAAGAGTGAAGCAACAAGTGTCTGTCTTTATCTTATGTGATGCTCTTTCTCTGAAGAACTTCTAACATGTTGCTCATGCTACAACCTGATCTGACGCCTTTGATTTTTAGCTGACTGTGACCTTTCATTTAAGGTTTGATTAAAGGACATAACAGGACAAATCAACAACAGGAACGAGAGACAGGATATGGTCAATCAGCCAGACGTGCCTTTACCGTTGATCAAGAAAAAAATAATAGTTTATGGGAATCATGTTGACATCAGGTAAGTTTGTCTATCTAAGTGTGCAGCTCTAATATGAGAACGAGTGCTATGTTTTTTTTTTGATTTTATTCAACAATAATAGTCCTCATGTTGTCTTTTTTTCATGATTTTTATGCTTCAACCGCATTATGATTCATTGGGGTCTGAACTGTGATGTGTGCCATGGCTCTTGAATAATTATAGTACATAGTATATAAGCATATCAAAGTTCCTCATAAGACAACATTTGTTTTAATAGGCATTGACATGAACTGTGTTTTTTAAAGTAAGTGTCCATAAAGAGATGACTGAGGAAGCACTGGACCAGGATAACTACAACCGTGTGACAGCAGCTCAGAAAAGGACATAACCATGGGCGCTTCAATCAGCCAATAGGGAGACAAGGATCTGAAGCAGCTTCAGAATAGGAGACAATATGCTCAACAAACTACTAGACCATTTTTCAACCAGCATCTATTAGAGCAGTGGTTCTCAAACTATGGTACGCGTACCACCGGTGGTACGAGGGCTCCCTGTGGTAGTACGTAAAGAAATCTCCACAATACAAAAAACAAACCCGTTCAGCACAAAACGACAATTTTGTTTTTGTCGTACTCTTATCTAGCTTGTATCTATTGGGTTGTATTTATATCAAATGTGTTTTACCCTCTAAATGAATCTAGTTTTTGCAACAAACAACTTTAATCTGCTCAATTTATGATCGCACGCGCATAGACATAAACGCCTCGCGTTTTGAAAAGTTCCACTCGATATTCCGTTATGGTTCAGTACTGAAACAACAGCAAGCAGCTGTAGGCCTACGCCAACAGATATTCTGTTCATGTCATTAACAATGTACAATGTACAATGTACAAACATTAACAGATATTATGTTAATGTAGACCTACATTAACAGATATTCTGTTATTTATTGCAGTTCAGCACACAATCCGCAGCAAGCAGCTGTACATTAACATTATTAAAACGGAGCCAGAAGAAGCTTCAGTTTTGATGCATGTAGAGACAGCGGACCTTATCGCCCCCCCTCCCTCTATCTCTCTCTCTGTAGCTCTGAAGCTGATGTGACTCTGCTCTCTTTTGATGTCTTAACACTCTGTAGGAGTCGAGAGGGATTTTTTTTTAAAAGGCAGTTTTGCTATGTTGAACGCAGTTCTCGCTCTGTGTCCCCCGCTACCTCTCGCTCTCTCAGGCACGCAGCAATTTTATGAATAAATGAAAAATTAAATGAGAACAGGTCGGAAATATACCCAGGTATCGTGTTTGTGTGGGAAACACTGGAGACTAAATATTTCCAAACAGGTTGTTGGTATAAAGTTGTCATTTTTATTGTTCTGCACTTTTGTGTGTGCAAGTTCTAGTGCTAACCCTTAGTAGGCCTACAGTGTGGCTGCCAGCAGTCAATAATAAACAATATTCTTTTTATGAATTAATTTGTCTCTTGCATTAAATGTGTGTTAAAATAGGCCCACAGTGTATTTTAACGTCTACCATAATGGTGGTACTTGGAGAGCCAAATATTTTCGGAGGTGGTACGCAGTCTGAAAAGTTTGAGAACCACTGTATTACAGTGTTTTACCTGAACCATCTCTTCATACGTGATGAACATTATTCTGTCTCCCAGTTCGGAGTGTTTCCAGCTCTTCAAATGGTCGGTCCATTTTCCAAGCATTACTGCAGAAAACACGGACAATATCAAACTGTATGAATTCAACCACTTCTCTATGTTGGAAATGGCAACGACTCAAATAAATTGAGGGAGGTCAATCCTGGTGGTTAAAATTTGAATTTACACAATTTGGTGAATATTGAGATCAAGACACAATAACTTGTCTTCAAAGCTTGAGCTGAACTAAACCAACAACGGCCTTTCTGAAAGTGCTCCTCCACATGATTCCGGCCGACGGCAAACCAGATGTCATTAAGTGGAGAGCAGGACGATATATAACAATGTGAAATATTTTTTACATTTGTTGTTCTCTCCATATTGGAATTTACAATAAGCTAGTTTTGTAGCTCACTCCTACAAGCAGACAATTTAGAGATCTGGAGAGGGATGAGAAGCTGCTGATTTTACTGTACTGCCATTCTGTCAGACTGGTTTCTTCCTATGATGTCTGGAAGGTGATTCCTGTTTGCCATTTGATCTTTGTAGAAAAGATGTGCGCTGGATTTAACAAAAAACATAGTAAGAGCATCGCTGAGAATCTAAACGTATCATTTTATCTTGATTATCTACATATCAAAAATCATTAAAATACAAAATAGAAAATATAAATTGATAAATGGCCAGCCCTACAATTGTTGTAGTCCACCAAAATGATGATCTATTCTAACTGCTTCTATATTTCATTTAGGTGGGATGAGACTTCTGACCTCTTCCCTCCAGGAATTTGTTCATGAACTCATCGAATGTTCCTGGATCTGAAAGGAATCCAGCCATTTGATGAAAGTAAAACGAAGACACCAAGACGTCTTTGGGGTTCCTCATAACGTAGATCACCTACAGCAAAAAGACAGAAGAGACACATTTGATAAGTCTGCTTGAAATGAAATAAAGATCCAAGGAGCTCTTCTGACAAACTGTTTTTTTAAGACTCCGCCCAGCTACCTTGGCTTTGGAGGTGTGGAATGATGGGGGCATGAGGTGGTAAGGGAAATGTGAGACTATCGCCCGTGGAGAAGCCATCTTATCTACAACCAATTCTAATCTTGTCTCCTCCAGCCAGGGGACCCTGTCCCAGTTAGGAATGGTTTGTATTAGAGTCAGATCTCCTCCATTGAGCAACAGAGGGAGGACTTCCTGCATCCAGGCTGTCCCTGAAGAGAGGAGTAAAGCAGCTGTTAATACTGAATAAGACAGCAGTAATCATTAGTATTATTGCACAAGGACAAGCTACCAACACAGAGATACAAAGTCTGACTGTACAGTTGCCATTTTAGACAAATGGCATATTTAAAGGTGAGCCGAATTTGCAAAAAGCAGTTCCTGTTTGCAATGTAGCCGTCTGTAGGGACAACTTTGACCGGATTACTATGCTATTGAATGATCCTTTTAAATATACTGATTCTCAGGCCAGTTCTGGAGTTATGATGATGAGAAGTTTGGTTGTTGAGCAGATTCACATGTTTTATTTGAGACAAAATGACTTCATAGTAAATGATCAACAGATCTGTGCCCCGTCAAAACAATAAATAAGCTACAAGAATTGTGCAGAGAAAACTTTCTGCAGCCTCTTTTACGGCGATCACTTACGGAAGCGTACACTGACCTGACTTTGGATACACGACAGCCAAGACGTCATCATCTTTAAACGTAAACTCCTGCGCAAACTTTAAACTTTCCAAGGAGTGAGCCGCTGTGGGAAGCATAAGTCCATGGTAGAGCATATACATCTCATCGGAAGACATGATGTTTCAAGGATTTCTAAATCGAAGTGCAACTCAGTCTGCAAACACGAAAAGAGGTGAAGTAGGTCACACTTCTGACTGCGGTCAAGCCAGCCGCTCCTCGCTTTTATATGGTGAAGTGAGCCGCCCCTAATTTTGAAGTGCTCACGTATTCTGATCTTTATGGTAAACGCTCCAGACTCCAGAGCGAGCATGAGTAACAGACAGAGAGAGCGATAAAGTGAAGTGCTAAATGCCTAGGTCTTACCATACAACTGGCTGAGATACACATGTATGAAACAGGGGGCAAACAAAATACTGTTCAGGGAATAGCTTCGGAGGTCAGTTAATTAATTAATAATTAATACTTCTTAGACTACATGCACCGGTACTATGGAGTACTTTTACTGTGTACTTTTTGAAGAATCCACCGTCAAAGTTCCTTATAAATCACTATAATGAGTATTTCTTCTGAGTTTGACGTCTTGTAAAAACAAAATCTTTCATAAGTACACAATGATTCTGATATAGTTGGACTTAGTACTTCTTAGACTACATGCACAGATACTATGAAGTACTTTTACTGTGTACTTTTTGAGTAATCCACTGTCAAAGTTCCTTATAAATCACTATAATGAGTATTTCTTCTGAGTTTGACGTCTTGTAAAAACAAAATCTTTCATAAGTACACAATGATTCTGATATAGTTGGACTTAGTACTTCTTAGACTACAGGCACAGATACTATGAAGTACTTTTACTGTGTACTTTTTGAGTAATCCACTGTCAAAGTCCAATATAAAGCACTATAATGAGTCTTTTTTTATGACTTTGATATCTTGTAAAAAACAATTCTTCCATGAGTACACAATGATTCTGATATGGTTGGACTAAGTACTTCTTAGACTACATGCACCGGTACTATGAAGTACTTTTACTGTGTACTTTTTGAGAAATCCACTGTCAAATTCCCTTATATGTCATATTACAGAGTCTTTTTTTCTGACTTTGACGTCTTGTAAAAACAAATTCTTCCATAAGTACACCATGATTCTGATATGACTATAATTAATACTTCTTAGACTACATGCACCGGTACTATGGAGTACTTTTACTGTGTACTTTTTGAGAAATCCACCATCAAACTCCTTTATATGTCATGTTACAGAGTCTTTTTTTTCTGACTTTGATGTCTTGTAAAAACAAATTACTTCATAAGTACACAATGATTCTGGTATGGTTGGACTAAGTACTTCATAGACTACATGCACTGGTACTATGAAGTACTTTTACTGTGTACTTTTTGAGGAATCCACTGTCAAAGTGCCTTATAAATCACTATAATGAGTATTTCTTCTGAGTTTGACGTCTTGTAAAAACAAAATCTTTCATAAGTACACAATGATTCTGATATAGTTGGACTTAGTACTTCTTAGACTACATGCACAGATACTATGAAGTACTTTTACTGTGTACTTTTTGAGTAATCCACTGTCAAAGTCCAATATAAAGCACTATAATGAGTCTTTTTTTATGACTTTGATATCTTGTAAAAAACAATTCTTCCATGAGTACACAATGATTCTGATATGGTTGGACTTAGTACTTCTTAGACTACATGGACGGGTACTATGAAGTACTTTTACTGTGTACTTTTTGAGAAATCCACTGTCAAGCTCCCTTACACACAGCACAGCTCTCTGCAGTGTTTTGAATGTGACAGTACCAATTTGATACGCTCTGTCACAGCTACATGTTGCACTTTTAATATTTTGCAATAAACTCACATACAAGCATTTTTCAAATAATAATAATCTTTCACGAATAAAAAAATACTGTTGACATTTTTTTTTACATTTATTATAAACATTAAAAACACTACAACAATGCAGGTCTAGATTAACAGAATATCTGTTAATATAGGCCTACATTAACAGATATTCTGTAATTCATTGCAGTTCAGCACACAATCCGCAGCAAGCAGCTGTACAGTAACATTTTTAAAACGGAGCCAGGAGAAGCTTCAGTTTTGATGCATGTTGTCATTTTTATTGTTCTGCACTTTTGTGTGTGCAAGTTCTAGCGCTAACCCTTAGTAGGCCTACAGTGTGGCTGCCAGCAGTCAATAACAAATACTATTCTTCTCATGAATTAATTTGTCTCTTGCATGAAATGTGTGTTGAAATAGGCCTACAGTGTATTTTAACGTCTACCATAATGGTGGTACTTGGAGAGCCAAATATTTTCGGAGGTGGTACGCAGTCTAAAAAGTTTGAGAACCACTGCTCTAAACCCAAACATTAGTCTGTTGTGTCTTTTACAGGCCAAATTGTCGTGATTTCTATATTAAATTATTAAACAGATTTAACTATTACCAGGCTAGTGCGCGAAACCAGACAGCAAGCAACACGCACGGTGGTAAACCTCACCAATAAAGAGTCTCTTCAAGAAAACAAGTACAGCAGCTTACCTGCTGCCTGTTCAGATTTGTAGTCAGCCATGTACAGTCTTGTCGCAGACCTACTTTCCGGGGTGCTGGCTGATCCTGGGGGGGTGAGGAGGAGGAGGGGGGGGGGCTGACCTTATTCTCATTAAACCTGTGGTATATTTGTTCTATAACAATAATATTTTTTATTAAGGCTTTAAACTAATATTTTTCTAACTTGTTGGCTACTTTCATATATTAGTACTTTTTAATCTTCCAACTTTCAAAGCAGGTAAAAAAAAAAAGTTTAAATATTAAAAAGTGCTGTATGCATAATATAGTGCTCAGTAGGCCTAATGTCAGGCATAAATGTTGTTCTTCCCCTGTCAGCACCTTAAAATAACAGTAGCCTATATTATATTACCATTATATTGTCATCTGGTTCAGTTGTGAGCAGGTCATTTAGTTTCTGTCCATAATTTCTCACTTTAAATGACTTGACTCAACAAGATGCCGAAAATGGGTAAGGTCAGCTACTGAAATTGAAGCTGGCCGAGCTTTTACCTTTCACAGTGTAAAATTCAAAACTGGTAATACTTTATAATTGAGCTACTAGCACAGGAAGGCAGTGTCTGTTTGTAAGATTCTCTTGAGAAATTGTACTAGAATAAATACTAACACATGAATATGAGTGAAAGCAGAAGCTCTGAGGACATAGACTTTATTCATTTCATATAAAAATGACACAAAAAAAAAGTTCAAAAAGTTGAACAGGTGCTTCAGGTAATCTTCACAGGGATGAGAGCCAGCCTGCATCATAAACATGATCTCACAGATGTACACACTGAGGGGCCGTCAGACCCTTTGCTACAGTTCACATCTACCACATTTAAGACGAACCTGTACAGTATACCACCAGCAGAGGCCAGGGTAAGCCTGAGACAATCCACTTCACCCCTCACACTCCTCCTTCCTCTCTTCCAACATCCTTGACTCCTCCTTGCACTCCTTTCTCCCTTTCGTCTAGTTTTTCTTTCTTTCAATCCTCCTTCTGACCCTTCATGTCCCTGAGCCCTGCTTCTCTGATTGGTTCCAGACGTGCCACTGAGCTCTTCTTGCCGACTCAACATTCCACAGCTGGATACTGCACACACTCAGACACACACACACATTCAAAAACACACTTCTCATTACTCCCTCTCCTCCTCCCTTCCCCCTCTATCTTAGTCCAACTCATGGAGCAGAAAAAGCAGGGTGGTTTTTTTTTTCACAGCAGCTCAGTGAAACCCCCAAAGCCTCAGACTGACACAGCTCCAAAGCATTCCTCTGTGCAGGAAGACAGAAATGCGTTTAGAGAGCTGAGGGGAAAAGAAAATGTTTGAGGAGACGAATGTAAAATGACAAAAATGTGATCATTTCACTGCGCAAATGGGAAATCGGAAAATGACATAGAAAGAGAACTGAATGTTTGTTTTTTTTTGTTTTTTTTTTTTTTTTACGAATTCTCTTTTAAAACAGTCTTTGGCTCTAATATATACAACACAGTCATTCACATGAGGGATGTTTTCCTTTGTGGGCAATGAGAGGTTCACGTGTTTGCAAATATCCCATAAAATTAGGAAAGTTTCTTTAAAAGATATTTAGGCTGAAACACAATGAAACCTGCATCATTAAAAAGACAACACATCTCAGTGACAAAACAGAAAGAACTGTGCTCCATGTGAAACAGACAAACGGACAGAAAAACCTTTCATAGTGCACGCCAAGAGAATTATTGTACTTAAAAAGTGATGAATCAGCTCCAGATGTTGGCATATAGAGCCAGCACAAACAGAGGTTTGGAATCGCAGAGAAGTAACTGTACCTTAACAAAAACGACTAAAAGAAAGGCGATTACTTATACTGAACAAGCTGAAAAATAGTAAGTACCAAAGTGTACGCAGAGCTATTGAAGCCCTGCAGTACCAAAAAGACATCCTATTTATTGTATTTGTTTACCTTTGTTTTACCAGGAAGTCAAATTGAGACTAAAAATCTCTTCTACAAAAGACTGACTTCTATAAAAAGTTCCCTACAGAACTTAGTAATGTGCAAAGTTGTAGCATATCTAACGTTCTGCCTCAGACGGTTTAAGGTCACCAGTAATAATGGTCCCTGTTACCTTCCACACATTCACATTAGGACTTCCTCCTCCTCCTCCTCCTCTGCTCGACTTCCAGCTGGTGCTGACGTGTCCGACGAGAGAAGAGGAGCGAGGCAGGAGAACAAAAACCACACATGCATCATCAGTAACAGTTCTCTACAGCTGCACGAAAGACGACAAACCATCGAGAAAGAAATGAACCTTAATGAAATAATGAAACGACAACTCAAGTTTAAGTAAATACTGCCATGGCAAAAAAAAAAAAAAAGAATAAAAAAAAAAAATAGAACCAAATTTCTTTTCCTGAAGAAGACTGTGGCTGTGTTTGTAGAGGACAGAGGTGCATGTTTAAGAGTCAACTTGTGGCTGTGACAGCTCTTCACTGCTTTGTAAGTCTTCCAATCACTTGGGAACAAGAAAGGAAATAAACAACAAGCAGAAGTTCAATTTGGCACCGAGGAAGATAGGAACGAGTCATTACACAAAACTGATATTGTGTTGAACTTTTCCAGCTGCGATAAAAATGGATCAATTCATGGCCCTAATGAAAAACTTTTAAGGAAAGAT